ACACACACACACACACACACACACACACACACACACACACACACACACACACACACACACACACACACACAGAAAGAAAGAAAAATGCATGCTCTGTATCTGCTAGCAGATCTTAAGAGGGTGAACAATCTTTCTTTCCTCCCATCTTGTCTCATTTCTTGACTAACTTTTACTTGGCCTGTCCTGCACAAACAAAGGCTTATCTTTATTTCCTGTCCATTTGAGAAGGTGAGAAAGAATTGTATTTTCATGACAAATCAGCAATTAGTCTGCATAAACCCAAAACCGAGTGAAGATACTTTTCTAAAAGCCTCAATAAATCCAGCAGCTGGGTCTTGGTGTCAGAATTCCCCAGCACAAGGTAAAGATGTTTTAGCTGACATAATAAGAGCAATGCTCACATAAACAGATGTGCACCTATATAAATCTCACATGGCTCAAATTTAGTTTTAGTTCTGCAAGAGTCTATGAAAGGTTCAGCAAAACAGTACTGTCTGAACTGACGTCTTATTTATAAGGGGTGAAATCCTCAGTTCACCGTCAACATGTGATTCCAATTGAACCTTCATGGTTCTCGGGGACACATTGAGACATTTAGATCAACGGAGGTGGGAGATTCATGGCAAAAGTACATGACCAAGGGATGAGAAGGTTGTGTTTGTGTGCGCGTGTGTGTGTGTGTGTGTAAGTGACATGGAAAAGGACATAAAAAAGAGAAAGAGAGTGGAAAAGGATTATAGGGGGCAGAAAAGCAGGAAAAGCAACCTTCAAGAAGAAAAGTGGGGGTTATATTTATATACTTTAGGTGGGGCTGATGTTTAAAACCTGTTAGTGGCATAGCCAGGCCAGGTAGATTTGTAGGTGACACATAGGGTCACGGCTAAACATCAATTCTGTCTTTTACTTAAAATGAAAGAAAACATTCAAGAAACAAGATGGAAAGACACAGCATGAAGAGGCGAAAATGAAAAAAAAAACTTAAATATTGTGATGTGATTTAACAGGGTAGGGGGTTGTGTGTGTTTGACAAGACTGACTGCTACCTGAGAAAGAAAAGAAGGGAGACAAGCAGAGGAAGGGAAGAAAGCAGCAAAGGTAGAGATTTAGGAGTCCCAGACTACCCTAAATCAGCTCAACGCACTCCATGTTGTTATTCCTAGGCGTCACGGTTGAGGGATATGTGTTTATAATTTGTGTTATGACTTACTTGAAATTATGAGTGTGGAGAGTCAGTGGGACAGAACCAGATGCGTCTACAAGCTCCCCATGGGAACCATCAATACTTTCTGCCCCTAAGTGCAGAGTGTGCATGTGTTGTGTGTCCATGTGTGTACATTTGGGCTTTCACGTCCATGTGAGTGTATTTTTGCCAGAAAAAAAATAAAATAAGATAAAATACAAGAAGAGTCCACTGATATCTGTTCTCAGAACATCCATTAGGAGTTTTTCTAGCTTGCATTCTAGCTCCTCCACCACCCAACTGCCCAGCTCTGGAGAGACATTCCTCTGTCATTTACGGCTGTTTCTTG